ATTACTACTGTATACTACAATGCAATTCTCAAAGTAATAATAATAATAATATTATTATTTTTAAAGAATATCATACAACCAAGTTATTTATTATTATTATTAATTTATACAGTTCTGTTGTGCACATAGTTATGGGTTTTTCTTTTTCTTTTTTTTTTTTGCCGTTTGATTGTTACTGATGAGATCATAGACAGTGGCAGAGGCTGCGTTCACACTAATGCACAGATCTATTTCGACATATCAGATGTTTGTCCTGTTCTGAAAACATAACTGATTGTTTACATCAATTTCGTATCATAAAAGTAGATGCAAGTGCATTTAACCGCAACTGCGCGCTTCAGGACAAGCACAAAGCTCACGTGAAAGTCTGTCAGTATGTGAGTTTCGTGCATCTAATACATAGGCTACTGCATTCCAAACCACATAAATGATAGCACATCTAAAGTAAAAGACTAAAATAACAGCGAATGGAAGCACAGTATAATATAAAAAAATGAAAATGCAATGTTTTGCAATTGATTTTCATTTGATTACATTTTAAAGGATTAATTAAATTGTTAATGTTTTATTAATTCATTTCACTAGACACCATTTTTTATGATAAATTTGTACTGAATCATAAAACACAGAATCCATAAGAAATCAAATGGAAAACAGAATTTAGGGGAAATTAAAATGCATTTCATGGGGCCCTAAATTAAAATGTAATTGTGAGCAAAGTTGTGTTTACCTTCATTCACAAGGTCTAACAAACATGTGGAAAGCATTTCCTTCCTCATTAATGGTAAATGAATATCATGATAAATATCAATATTGTATGATTTTTATAAATTTTTATACATTTATCGGCATAAATGAAAGCACATCTAAAGTAAAAGACTAAAATAACAGCGAATGGAAGCACAGTCAAGCAATACGCACGTGTCTCACAGCGCATATCCTGTGTGATGAAGCCCGCTGCGATTGTCTCTAGCGGGCACACGTGCCATGTGCGGGAAAAAGCTAAACTCAGATTTTAAAATAGAGAGTGCATTTTTAATACTCGCGTGACAAGCGTGTATGTGAATGACGTCAGAAGGCTATAATCGATTATGGTCTATTACTGCATCGATACAACGATTAATTTCGACACCCCTAGTAATCATAAAACACAGAATCCATAAGAAATCAAATGGAAAACAGAATTTAGGGGAAATTAAAATGCATTTCATGGGGCCCTAAATTAAAATGTAATTGTGAGCAAAGTTGTGTTTACCTTCATTCACAAGGTCTAACAAACATGTGGAAAGCATTTCCTTCCCCATTAATGGTAAATGAATATCATGATAAATATCAATATTGTATGATTTTTATAAATTTTTATACATTTATCTGGAATATTTTCCTGGATTGATAAAAAAAATTTAAATGCTTGTGAGAAATCATCAATGTTTATTAATGGCAAGATATCAAGATATAAAAAGAAATATATATATATATATATATATATATATATTT